GAATTCATAGCATCTTTTTAGAACACCTAGAAAGATTTTTTAAAATGCATTTCAAAGGAGAAAGGGGCCTACTGAAATTGAGTTTTAAACTTGCGAGTGGTCCAGGCTCTTTCGCTAGTCGTAAGCAACAACAGCATTTAGAAATAGATGAAATCACAGAGCTCAACACCACATGAATGCTCGGATTCGAGGTGAGTCCTCACTGGAAAGCTATATAAACGCGGTCACAGATTTAGTTCACAAAAATAGGATATTTAAATGTTTCCTCAAAAGAGCTAGAATGGGAGCTAATCATTCACTGCAACTTAAAGTGAACAGCTCTGAGATTCCATGGCTGTAAAGTAGGACTGCAGAAAGCACTCGTCTGCTCTACAGGGCAGGCATGCCAGCCCGGCCTGGGGAGACCAGCAGGCCAGCTCTCCACCACAGAAGCCAAGAGTGCAACTGGCAGGCCTTCCATGTGGTGTCTAGTCCCTGTCTGCTTGAGAGGATGGCAAAGGTGGGTGCCTGGTCAGCAGTGAGTGTTTCCTTAAGGATTTAATGAAGGAAAACAATTACTTCAATTTCAGGGGAATTTTTTTTTAAACTAACCAATAACTAGACTTAAAAGACTTAATAGGACTGATGATGCACTTTATTGGTGGACACGGCGAGGCCATCTGACGCCTGTATGTATTTATAAGTCAGAGAGCCCAGATCACAATGATATTCTTCATATTTTTCTTGGCTAGCTACAGCAGGTGCAACCTGCTTGGGTCTTCACAGCCATCTCTTTGAAAAAGGGAATAGAGACCTGTAATCTTCAGAACGGATTTGAATTTAACACCGTCTCATGCTGGCATCAGTTAAAATTCTCATTTTACTAACTTATTTGAAACATGGCTCTTCTTTCAAACCCTAAAGGTCCCAGAAAATTGTCAGACCAGATTCTGGATAGACTCATCTTGATTCAAAGCTCTCAGGACGCTTTCTTGACTCTCACATTCTACATTCTTGGGTCTCCCAAGTCTCCGCAGCCTCTCACCCTTGCTTCATTCAGTTCAACTCATGTCCCCTGAGCACCTATCGCTGGCAAGCCTGTGCCAGACACTGCGGATAGAAAGATGAATGAGGGCAAGTCCTTGGCCTAGAGAAACTTCAGGTGTGCTGGGAAAATAGAGCTCTGATAGGTGGTTCCAGTGTTCTGTGAGCGATGCCATAGAAGCGCTGAATGCTAGCGGAACTCCAAAGGCATCCGTGGAGAGGCCCAAACCGAGTCTGCGATCTGTGAGGAAAGAGCCTTTGGGGCACAGGAGACAAACCATAGCTCTATTTGAAATGATGAAATGTTAATGGGGGTGGTGGAAATATAGTGTTTATTCTATTACTCTCTGTACCTTTGTGATTATTCTATTACTCTCTGTACCTTTGTGAATTTTATTTTACTTTGAAAACAAGTGAAGAAAAGGCTAACGGTGCCAATAATACTACCGCAGAGATTCCTGTGCGTATCAGCCAAGCTCCCTGAGAAGAGGCAGCTTTTTTTTTATCTCCATCACAAAGGCACGGTTCACAGCCATACTGGGGCAGTCATACACACACGGCCCAGGCTGCCCCAACAGGGTCTCAAAGAAATGGGGCCAAGAGTAAAATAGACATTTCAGTAAGAACAGAACCCACAAGGGCTCAATCAGTTGCACTGTTATCACTATGACACTAGTTTTGGGGAGGGGGTGGGAATACTAGTGCGCAAAGACATTTTGGGGATGAAATCACATGGCGGGGCTTCCTTCCGGTTACTTCTTCATTTTGTAATATCCGTTCAATATATTTCAACAAAGATACTCAAAATACAAGAGGAACTAAGGGACATGTGACAAGAAGAGCAAACACACAGCTCAGGGACTATGTATAGCATGAGCAGAGACCTTCCAAGATCTTGTCCTGTGTCAGGAAAGCTTTAGGGGATTGGTCAGGGTTGGAGAAATCAGTGAAACAGACTTGGATTAAATTCCTTACAAATATACACCTTATAGCATAAAGGAAAGACCTTAGATGAATAATGGCTAAAGTAAAATGCTTTCATAGTTCAAAATCCCTTTAACACAAAATCATCCCTCATAAAGAATACAGAGATACAGGTCTGAGAGAAGAAAACCTGGCTGGGTGCTCGATCCGACACCACCACTGGGTTCCCACCCGGCAGAGCCAATTAAAGTGTGAATCCTACAACGCCCCAGTTAATCTATTCCTGGGGGTCAAATGCAAAGCTTCTGACGGATCCCAAGCAGAGCTTCCAATTACATGTAATCATCCAATTACGACTCCTTTTCCTTCTTCAATGTCCTGAAAGGAAGACTTTTCTCTTTTTTTCATAAAGTCCTCTCCAAAAATGAGGCCCCCAAAGAAGTGTGGAGTACTACCTTAGAGCGTCAGCTCTGCAGTGAACGAAGTCAGCCTTCTCTCAGTGACTCATGGCGTTCTCTCCTTAACCAACATTTCCTGGGCATCCAGTGCCAGGCAGTGTAAACAAGAGGGAATGTACTTAATGAACACAACTGGAAAAGTGCTGGGAAGAAGCTGGTGTGGGTGGGGCAGAACAACAGTTACCAGGCAGCAGAAACTTGATTCATCCATCCTGCGCACTCCAGGGGAAACTTCTGGCCCCCTATCCGTACAGAATTAGATGCAAGTGACTAGTAGTCATTGTGCCATGGATTAATGACTACTTATTTCGTTAGGTGTACTGAATACTGACCTAACTCCCCCGAGTTTACAGTCTTTTATTTAGTATCTAGTCTATACGGTATTTATCTTAACGGTGCTCACACACACATTCTCTTCTACTCTGATGGGAAGGCTGGGCCACTGAAGAGCTCACAATAAAGAAAACTCTTGGGCACCTGAAGACCCAAAACTCCCCAGTGCAAGCTGGCTCCCCGGTGGCATGACACACCTCGCCAGCTCTGACAACTCTAACTCATCTGACTCACAATACACAGAGCACTTTAAACTTGAGAAGAAAGCGTGCTGCCCTGGCCACTGCGGTTCGGTTGGGCGAGGTCCAATGCAAAGGTCAGGGTCCAGGCCCAGGTTCCTGGCTTGATCCCGGGTAGAGGGGAGTACTCCGCTCTCACATGGATGTTCCTCTCTCTCTCTCCCTAATTCTCTAAAAAATCAATTAAAAAAAATCTCTAAAAAAGAACGCGTGCTGCGGTGTATTCCTGAACGTGGCCGCCCAGCCGAGACCTGCAATGGGAATCTCCGTTTCTATTACGTGTAGTCCTGCTTGGTTCACCAACAAAGTAGGGAGGGCAGTAGCGGGCCTACCTCCCGGAGCTGCGGGATTAGGGGAGGGCTCCACCTGGCTCCCCGGCTGCGGGATTAAGGACGGGTACGCCCGGCTACCGGGCTGCGGGGTTAGGAGTGGGCTCCAGCTGGTCCCACAGGTCTGCGCTATTTGGGGAGGATTTCAGGAGGGTGACCTTCCCGAGGCCCGCCCACCAGCCACCAGGCACCGGCAGGGTGCCCCGCAGCCCGGCACACACCCGCCTGGTCCGGGCGCACGGAACTGCCCCCCGAAGCAGCAGACCATCTGCCGGTATCTTTTCGGTGCGCTATAGACAAAAAATGTGCAAAGGCGCACCTCCGGCCCTCAGCCCGGACGCTGGCGGACCCCGGAGCACAGCCGCGTGCGCGCCCATCTCTCCGACGCGGAAGCGGAGGCCGTGGTTTTGTGAGATCACCCGCAGGCCTTCCCCCGCCGGCCGCACCGCTCCCCCGACCTCGCCCTCACCCACACCCGCGCCCGCGCCGCACCTGGAACTGGCTCGGCCGCCCTCGCTCTCCGGAACGTGGAACATGTCGCCCGCTGCTCCGTGCCTGGTCGTCTGCCGCGCCGCGGTTCCCGCCCGGCAACGCGCAGCCAGAGGTTCACCCGCCCGCGCTTAAAGGACGACGCCGATGCCAGTCATGCCGCCACACCCTATCGCGGCGCGTGGCCCCGCCCCCGCTCCAAGACGCGAGGGTGTGTGGAGGGCCGTGCTCGCAGCCGATTGGTGAGAGCAGGTGCCGCTGACGGCGTCGGGTGTCGGCATTGGGCCACAGGCCGGCAGAAGGCAGGCTGCCCCTGAGGTGGGCGGGGTCAGGACGTAGGTCCGAGCCCCTAGCGGCCAGGCCAGATGCCCCTCCTCCTCCTCACGGGAACCTCTTCCTGGGCGGGAGCCGGAGCGACCCGACCGACAGTGGAGGGATGGACCAGCCGGGGTGGGGGGAACAGGGTAAAGTCTAGACTTTCCTTAGGCGGCAACCGCTGCCCCAAGGCCTCTGACCCGCTGCTTACGGATTTTGCAAACCGGTCCAAGGCATCCGCTAGTTGGCAAAAGGGCGCTAATGCGAATTCTGTGTTCAGGGATTCAGCAGTTCCTGTCCTGATCAGTCCTAGGGGGTAGAAGGGCCCTCAGGAAGACATACTCAGTGCGCCAGTTCCCTATTTGTGACTCAAAAAACAAAACACAGTTGGGAGTGTTCTGTTGCTAAATTACACTGCCTCAGCCCATCTATTCTGACATATCACCAAATGAAAAGCACTTGAGCTTTTTTGTTGTTCATCTTCACCCAAGGATATTTTCCCATTGATTTTTAGAGAGTGGAAGGGAGGGGAGAGACTGAGATTTGGATGTGAGAGACATAGATTGGTTGCCTCCCACACGTGCCCGACCAGGGCAGGGGTTTGAGCCTGCAAGGTAGGTATGTGATCTTGACTGGAATTTCTATCCACTGAGCCAAACCAGATAGGGTGAGCTTTTTTTTTTTTTTTTTTTAAATCCTCACCAGTGGACATGCTTAGAGAGAGAGAGAGAGAGACATCAACATGAGAGAGAAACATTGATCAGTTGCCCTAAGGGAGAGGTGGGATACAGGAATTGAACCTGCAGCCTTTCTGTGCACAGGACAATGTGCAACCAACCTGAACTGTTTTTAAAGTGCATACTTAAAAAAAAAAAAGGCAGAAACAATAATTATTAGATCAAGTATTAGTATGTATTTATGCACAATAATAAAAACAGATTTACAAGTTAAACTGGAAATTTAAACATAAGAAGTTTAACAGCTTTTGTTTATTATATTAAATAACCAAAACACCTTTTATTCCCAAAATTGGTAAAGAATAAATAATGTAATTTACAATATGGTACAAAAAGTAATCAGGAAGGACAGGCATTCCGCTTTATACATACACTGTATATGTATATTTATTATCTATTAAACAAATTCACATCTCAAACAAGCCGAAAACCTTAGATGATATGGCTTAACGATTATTAAAAGAAACAGCAGTAAGTTCTGCTGCCTGGGCCAGAAGCTCTGGAGCCAGTTATCCTGTTACAGAATGAAGGGTACAGGTTGCTGTAGTGCTTCCAAGACTGAACTTACTTAACATGACTTACACATTACTGTGGGATTAGGAGAGAGCTTTGATAGTCAGGAAAGGTTTGCTGTGGTTTCTTTCTTTTTCCCCCCTTAAGACAAAGTGCCCTATTTCCTCACGAATGCATTTGATAGGTCTCAAAGTTTTAAACAACAAAAACCCACAGCAGCTGCTGTTCTCGTCCACTAGTTTCCAGTGCTTCTGTTCCATCATATTTCTCTGCACAGGTTTGGACTGGATGGTAAAAATGCTATTACACTGAAAAGGAAACCCATCAGTAGTGACACAGAATGATAAAAATGGGACTCAGGCTGAGGACCCAGAGATGTAGGGAAGCAAGCAGATCAACTTACGAAATGTTTCCAATTATCCCCACTCCCAGAGCAAGTGCTCTACACCTAGAAGATACAGAGAAATAAAAAAATATCATCCTAAACCTCATGTGGAACCATAAACTTCGATCTGCCTCTGCATTTTCTAAAGAAGAAAATGCTCACCACTGGATAGTCACAATAAGAGTTAAGGCCACACCACCAACTCCCTTAAGACCAGAGACAATCTCACTCTTTACAAAAGATGAATCAGCAAAAAGATGCCAGACATTAGAGTGACCTCGGAAATAGGTCTCAGAAACTGACCTGTTCTTAATTATAACATGCTCAAGGAAGCCACAGGTGCATACTGAGACTATGACGCCTGCCACTGGAGAGACAGAGAAAGATGCAGGAGGTGGGAGGCTTGGGTCTTTTGAAAATCCCAGCCTTTAACAATTACTTATTTTGTGTGTGTGTGTTCTTCACCTTGCTTTTTATATCTGTTTTGAGTTGAAAAGGATTCCACTTAAAAAAACATCTCCTACAGGTCAGTGGAGCTTTTCTTTCCCATCCAAACATACATGCCCACCACCCCTTACCTTGCCGTTTCCAAATTTAAGTCAATAGGAAAGCTTTGAGTCTCACACCTGGGTTATGCCTGGAGAACTGGCTTGTCACATACACACTTCTCTGGTTGCTAGGGAAGCAGCAGAATTCTCTGGAATCTTGTGAGTTTTATTAGAGGTGAGAAGAGTCGGTCTACTCTCCTCCCTGGCCCACTTCCCCACTGAATGATACTGGCCAGCCAGCTACACCCACACAGATTCTATGCCAGAAACCCAGGCAGGGGGTGCAGCTAAATAGCTACAAAAGCTGATCTGAGTCTAAGAAATTTTCTCCTTTTAGGTGTCACTGGGTGACAGGTGCCAGCCTACCAACTAGACTGCCTTGAGGTGACCCTGATGAACAAGCAGCTCAGGAGCCCTACTGTCTCTGGCACAGTACACTGCCATTGGCATCACATGCAGCTCTGATGTTACTTGATCGGTCCTGGTCCCAGACAGTGGAGGAGTGTGAGGAAGCTAGTCATGGCCTAAACCTGGCCTGGTCTATTATCCTACTGCAGACCTAACACACTCAGATGCCCCGAGAGTGAGTGTCAGAGAGTGAGAGAGAGATCGATCCTGATCTTGTTCAGCTCAATATAAGGTGCTAATTTCAGAAAGCTGATATATTGATCACAAAACACAAGTAGCTTAAAAATACTCTGGTCCAATGTTGTCGATATCTCTTAATAAAGTGTTAGCATGTTCCTTTCTTTCATATCTCCAGAGCTTTGAGACTTTTCCTAAGAGCCCAAAAGGCTTTTTCTTAGTGATGTTGGTGCCTAGAACCAGATCTGAAAGAAGGAAGCCACATGAGAGGCAAAAGCTCGAGAAACAATTGAAACAAAGAAAAGAAGCTATAGCCTAGAAGCCAAATGCCCTGTTTCCTCCATGGCTGGGAGCGAATGACCCTGCCTGCAGCCTAAAAGGGCTGCAAACAGCTGGTGAGACAATGGGATCAAGAGTGTCCACTCTCCTTGCACACACACAAGACCTTTCTTCTCCTTTCCACACAGGCTGACCTCTCATTGTGGAGAAGCCTCTGTAGAGGACCAGGGCTGGCCTCAAGAACTGCCTTCTCCGCCAGGCAAGGGAAGAGGAAAGGCGAGCAACAGAGACGGAGATTGGTTCAGGTGGATGATCCTGGCTGTCGGGGGAGGGTGAAGCAGCAGGTGGGATGGTGGCTCAGGTATTACTAGTCCAACACAAGAGCATTGGCTTCTGGCCACACGTAATGTGGCTAAAGGGTGAATTAAATGTTGCGTTTCCCAAGGCTGAGCAAACACAGGAGCCTTGTTAGCTCTATTCCGGGGGAGAACTGGAAACTGGACTACTTGCAATGGTAATTGGTCACCCAAGGAGGCTCACGGAATACAATACAGCGATGTGGTAGTGCTCTAACTGCATCAGGATGTATGATCCTTGTCTGCATTCCCTGAACAGGAAGGAGCAAAATAAGAGACCACTGGGCAAAAGAAGACATGGGGGATTAAACCTGCAAATCACAGTGTGCTTTGCTCTTAGGCCAACGAAAGGAAGAGAAGACCGAAAAAAAGAAATTCCCCTGAACAGTACATTTGTCTCAGATGCTAAACAGTAACACATCAGAAGTTCAAGGACTCATCAGGAAAGTCTTATCTGTGGTTAAACAAGTGCTTAGGATCGTCCCAATAGAAGTAACATTATAGATCACCTAGAAGAAACTTTAGATGGATGCAAGAAGGAAACCAACTAAACTGGTTTACCTCCTCATTGTCTAATTCTTAAAACAAAAGAAAAACATTCTCCAAGCAGCTTAGCAGGATTCTTTTCTGAAAGTCCATATAACCTGCACAAGACATGATTCTTTCCCCGTCCTGTTCAGAAAACACATCTAGATAGGGAAGCACTAGGCAAGGATCAGTATTTCTGGGGTGATGGCTCCAGTTACGCTGCCCTGGGACCCTTCTGCTGTCCTGTGATCAGTGTCCCCTGAAGTGTCCCCATGAAGCTGTCTTAGGGTACAGATACCACCAGGCCAAGCCCAGGCCAAGCCCTGCTGTCCCCTGTCACCTCCTTCACCCCCTTCCATCATCACGCTGCAGAGAAGCAATCAAAGTGTGGTACAGGTTTTGCAGAAAGAATGCAGCCTTGACCTGGAGCCTCCCTATAGAGAGCAGGGAGATTACAACTCCCCAGGGCACGACTACGCTGGGCACACACCCACTCCTTTCTTTCAGAAAGAAAACCCACTGAACTGTCCAACACAACCACCAAGGCAGATATGTGGTCATTACACAGACCCCAATATGAGATCCCACGACTGGCAAAGAATGGCTCCAATGCCACAGTGATGTATGACATTCCAGGACTCATCCTCATCTCTCAGGCCACTACGGCCCTCTCCCGTTGGGATACAGCTTCCAGCATTTTGCGTATTCTGGGGTGCAGAGGTGTCTCTATTCTAACCATCTTCTGGGGGTCCTGGGCTTGAGCTGTGTTTTCTCTACACCTACCACAGTTGAGGACTGGACCACCAGTCCTGTAAGCCCTCCTCTGAAGCCTCCAGGATGCCCCCACCACGAGTACGCTGTATGTTCACTGGGACAGGTCACTGACAGGGGGGCCACTTCCACTGCCATCAAACAGAACCTCTCGGCGGCTGGGCTCGGCGATGGACAGCTCCTGGGCCAAGTCGTTGAATCGAGATATATAATCAACGCTGTTTTCATTCATCATGCACACCAGCTGGGAATCCACGACCTGTGGGCAGAGGACACAAGGCAAGACCACATCAGCTGGTGGTAGCCTGCCACCTAGACGAGGAGACTCGCTACCACCAGGACTTCCAGTAGAAGGTGAACTTGGGTCTCTACGGTGAAGATTGGAATCTCCCATCGACTTGCCATGTAACGGTGGCCTAGTTCTCTGGGAAGAATCTCAGAATCGCCCATCGTTTTGAACTCTCACTGTTTTGACAAGTGTGCAGGAGAGCTCACTGTGAGCCTGGCCCAGCTGGTTGCTGGGATCAGAGCAGGGCTTCCCTTTGTATGAGATTTGTCAGGGAAGACAGTCAAACAGGCAAACGCACAGAGTGGAAAGCAGAAACTGGGGGGTGGCCTGTAGGAGACGTAAGTGGAGAAAGGGGACACAGTCTGCCCTGGGGGAAAGGAAGCACATTCCTGTGAGAAGAAACACCAAGTGCAAAGGCCCTGAGGTGGGAACAGGCTTCGGCTCTTCCAGAAACAAGAAAGCCAGTGGGTGTGACAGTGAGTAAGGACAACAGTTGAATAAGAGAAGAGACTTAAGTGTGTACAGCAGGGCCTTAGCTATTGGGATTTCATTCTGTGGACAAAAACATGGAACATTCTGCCACACAGTCTTCAGGATTTACTGTCTTCCTCCTTGGCTGGAGTGAAAGCCTCATGAGGACAGGGCCTTTGTTTTATTCACTCAGTGCCTGTAGCAGTGCCTGGCACATCATGAATAAATTGCATGATATAATGAAATAAAAAGCCTTGGAAAATTCTGAGTAGAGCTATGGCCTGAACCGAATTTTAAATCTATTATGAGAAATAGAAAACAAACAAATTTGTTTTCAAAAAGTAGAGCAAGCCCTGGCCGGTTTGGCTCAGAGGTTGGAGTGTTGGCCTGTGGACCAAAGGGTCTTGGGTTCGATTCCCTGTCAAGGGCACGCACCTCGGTTGTGGGTTCTATACCCCGCCCCAGTTGGGGTACATGCGGGAGGCAACTACTTGATGTATCTCTCTCACGTCATTCCCCGCCGCCCCCCGCCCCACCTCCCTCCCTTCTGCTTGTCTGGGGAAAAATAACCTCGGGCAAGGATTTAAAAAAGAAGGAAAAGAGTAGAATAGTGACTGTTTCCCCCACATATCCATCACCAGCTTCATCAATCTGTGGCCAATCTAGGCCCACCTCTCCCACCCACTCTTTGCTCCCATCACTTTTGTTCAAATCCCAACATCAGATCATTTCAGCCACACATCTCAGAATGCACTTCTAGATGATAAGGACTATTTAAAAAACACACTCATGTTTTTTGAGTTGGAGAGTTCGTGGTCAGATCTTTTTGTTAAACAATGGCTATTTCTGGAGGTAAATATGTTACCAGCTATGGATTTAGTAATTCATGAATAGCACCTGTCTTTGTTCTGTGCTGCTCACCTTTGTGTGCAACAGGCCACCCAGAGATCTTGTTAGAAATGCAGGTTCTGGTTCACTGGCCCTGGAGTGTTTGTGTGAGCTAATATAAATTCAAAGTAAACATCATTACATAAAAGGGTACGGTCTTATTTTTCTTTTTAGTTTTATTCATCTTGGGATGTTTGTGCAGTGGCCACTTCCACAGGAGCTTATAAACAATGCCCACATAGACACAGGAAAGGAAAGAGACCAGCCTCTTATGGGACATTACAGTCACAAGATCTTCTCTAAATAAAGGTTCTATGGCCACAGAAATGCTCATCGAGGGGGAGGAAATGTACTATATTGCTCTGTTTAGTTTGTATTTGGGTGAAATTTCCATTCATGTTAGGAGCTGGCTTAGAATCCTCCAAAAAGCCTTCCCACAAGCTCCTCAGATCTTAAGACTCACATCAGGATACCGAGAGCTGAGGAGGCAATGGGACACCACTGTGTTAGCCTTGTCTGATCCAGGGTTCCCCTTAAGAATCTATATATATAAAAGGCTAATATGCTAAGTGTCCAACCGGTCGCTATGATGCGCACTGACCACCAGAGGGCAGATGCTCAATGCAGGAGCTGCCAAGCTGCAGTGACTTGGCAGTGGCAGTTCACAGGTGATGCACCCCAAAACCAGAGAGGAGGGAGCCCGATTCCTCGAGGGGCCGTGTGATTCCACCTTTGGCCATGGGTTATGTTGTTGCTGGGGCACTACTGGCCCCAAATCTGGTTTACTGGACACTTCCATTTGCATTCCACACCCTGTACGACAGCAACTTTGCAGAGTGCCCTCTCGCACTCCGGGACCCCTGGGGGGATGTCAGAGAGCCGGTTTCAGCCTGATCCCCGTAGGCCAGGCTGAGGGGCCCCACCTGTCGGAGGGACCCCACTCACTCCGCAGATGCCCTTCGAGCCACAGTGCCACCCCAGGTGCAGGTGGTCAGGGAGGGACCACAGGAGGTTGGCTCCAGGGCATGTCCAGCCCATCTCGCCCAGTCCTGCCCCGTCAGCCACCTTCTAATTGATTTCCTTTCAATGTGCACGAATCTGTGCACTGGGCCACTAGTCTTACTATAAAACCCTTGAGGGACACCTACCAACAGCTCGGCATCTCAGGAAGCCAGGATTTGGAAATGTTGCTCCAGTACTTTAATAACAGGACCAAGCCCATGTGACATTCTACATGTGGAATCTTTTCATTTTAAGCATATCCTCTGTCTAATTTTTCTTTCAGCACCTGTTACTTCATACCTTGCCTTATAATTAAATGTACCTGTCTCTACTCCTTCAATCAGTGCACAACCTTGCAAGGCTTTCTTGCTCAAACAACACTCATACCATGTTGGATGGAGCCTGGGTGGCTACATGAGCAGACAGCCTGGCCTAAGAAAGAGGGACACTGCATGCCGGTCCAAAGATGAAGGTCACAAACTGAGCCTTGCCTGCACATTGAGGGCCTGCCATAATGTGACTTTTGTTATCATCACCCTCACCATGGGAGGAGCCTGAGGGAGTATCTGTGCCCTTCCTGCAGGACCCATTCTCCTGCTTGGGAGGCAGTGACATGTAACGACACAGGGAGGGGCTGTTTGAAGGCCCTCTCCTGTCAGGTACCAGCAGTGATGACAAAGCCACCTACAGGTGCTCTTTACTCTTCTACCAATGGCATCAGCACCGCACAGAGGCAGCATTACCTGCCTGAGATCAAGCGGCTGGTGTAGGCCACAATGAGATCCAATCCCTGCTTTGGTCGCCTGCAGAACCCCCAGTTAACCCCGAATTTTCCAGGTTTTGATGCCTTCAGAGCTCAGCTATTACTTTGTTGTTTGCCACTAGAATTTCCTTTCTCAGAAGCCAGAAACCTGGATGTGCATGTGCTGGCTCCTGGTTTTAACATCTTGATGAAAAATTCTTAATAACCAAACAGGTCTGCTTGAGGGACTTGGTCACCTCTGCAATAAGGGCTGGTGGTCAAGTCCAGGCATAAGATTGTGTACTTACCTCTGCCACATCGGCCAGGGATCTGGACACAAACGAGTCTCTCGAATTTCCATCTAGCAGGCTGGGGCCCAGCAGGGAGGTGCCACTGTGGGTCCCCACTGGAGTCGGCAGCATCTTTCGGCCTTTCTCCGAGATGAAGCTCGCTGCCAAGAAAAGGAGGATCAAGCCCTGAGATAGCTTGGTCAGCTCCGGGTCAAGGGAAGGATCCCGAGGGCTGGAGGTGGCCTCGCCAGGCCCATGCAGGCATTTATCTGCACGCTTGCACACAGTGCTTGGTGTGGAGCTGGAGCCAACCTGGCTTTTCTCAAATGAGGAGCCTTGGAGGGTCCTCAGAAGCACATATAAGTAGGCCTCATATTATAGGGGCCTCTCAGTGCTCTGCTATCCAGTCACCACTCCCACCTCCAGGTAATGTGGTTTCCCATTTTTCATGATTTGTATTTGACTTTGCAGAGATCTGTACTGTTCTATGGGCCTTTTATAACAGGAAACACTCATCGGGTGCTGGGTCCCTGTATCACCCAGACCAGAGCCCACATTCTGGGCCATCAGGTGTGGCGTCCACACAAGGTGCTGACCCGGTTCAACATGTGTACAGCACAACCCCCTGCGGGGCTGCAGTCTGATGGCCATGTGCACGTACTGGCTCTAAAAATGCAAAGCGCATGAATCCCAGACATGTCCCGGAGCCCCTCTTACAGAGGACATTGAGAGCATTGTGTCTTTCCCTAACATGCCCTTCCCATCACACAACAACTGGTGCCCAGTGAGGATGAACACATCCTGTGAACGTGCCAAACTGGTCAACATGTCGCAAGACAGCTGGCCTGTCCACATCAGAATATTTTACTGAGAACAGAAAGAGGGAAGCCAATGTCTTCTACCCTGCCGTTGGTGGCAAGAGCAGAAGGCCCTAGTAGGGGAGGGGCCAGGACAGCTGGCCGGACGAGAGAAGAGCACAGGGGACTGTGTGAGGAGATAGACGGGGGCTACATTGCAACTGGGCTGCGGGTTACAAGGATGTCACGTTTGCCAAAGCTCAGTGAACTGCACACTGGAGATCTGGACGTTCTCCCAAATGTAAGTGGTGCAGAAAAAATGAACCCTGGAAAACAAGCAAACAGTCCTGGTGGGGGTTCTGCCAGATGGCAAGGAGAATCTAGGCTCTAGTCCCCCACCAAGTTCACCACGTGGAGCCCTGCTCGTCCCTGCTGGTCCAGGACAGAGACCTGGGCACCCCCCACAGACACTCACCAAACAAGCTGCCGAGGGACGAGTCCGTGGGGTCGCTGGGGCACCACTGGGGGTCATGGGTGGGGGAGGCAATCCAGTCTGGCTGGGGGCTGCTGGATGGGGAAGGAAGACTCTTGGAACTGTCACTGCCATTTAGTTTTGCTGGAGAAAGAGGGACTCCTTCACCTGTCAACCAAAATTCTGGGTCAGAGACGCCACGTTGGGTGAACAACACTCTGCTTCTCCAACCTGCCACGAAGGCAGCGAGCAGCACGGCTGTGTGCCACTAGACTCTGGAGGTCAGGGACTCTGCTTGGATCCCCACAGATGATGAACAACACTGGTCTGTGGAGGGGATCCCCTACAGCAGGAACACATACCTATCTTAGGGGACGACAATGGCCACAGCTATCACTGATGAGCCAGGCGCTATGCCGAGAGCTTCACCTAAATCTTCTCATGGTCGCTTACAATAGCCCTGTGAATTACATGCTATTCCCAGTTCACAAAGGAGCCGGTGACCTGCCCACAGCCACTCACTACTAGCCTGTGAAGTCAGCTTAATCTGAATCCATGGCCTGAATCATACCAACAAGTGCCAACCACACCACCGCTACAGGATACCAGTCCAATTCCCTCCTGGAACTTGCAAAACCCAAAGGCATTCACCTAGATTCATGACCAACTAGGACACTGGCCCATCCAATCCTGTTGGTCTCAAGGCCAGGAGCAGTCCCACCAGACCATACACAGCTGTAGGTCCTATCTGTACCTTGTTCACTGGTGCTGCCTCTGCCTCTGCTGGGCAAGGCCATATAGGTGGCAGGTGCAAAAGTGGGAGTGGAATGGGAACATACCCAGCAGGTTTGGCAAATGCTCAGATGGGAGGTCAAGGGCAAGCCTGGATCCCCCGTCCTAATGGGGAATTGATTCCAAGAAGGGTGTGCAGGGGCAGCCTGTTCCTTACCGTACTGGCCAGAGCTGATGGCGATTTCAATGATGGAGTCGCTGATCTGAGTGGCAGGCTCTCCCTGCGAGAGCACGTCCTCAGGTGGCCCGGGGAGCGAGATGTCCAGCAGAGCAGAAACGTTAGGTGGAGAGAGCCGAGTGCTGGAGCCCTCCGCCAAGGGCAGTGGGGTGGAAAGCCCATTGTGCAGAGGAGCCTTGGATAGCTCAGTTAAGGAGAGGACAGGTGAACCCTGGTGGGAGATGGGAATTGTTCAGATACAATGGATCAACCAATCCCCTAATAAGGAACAAAAATCAACCTCAACCCCAAAAGACGGTAACCAAGCGATGACCAAGTCAACAGAGAGGCGGTGACCATAGCAGACACCTCTTCCATTCTAGTATGAAACACATTAACTTCTCCAGAAACTACCTGGGGATGCAGAGTTGGAAGGCCAGGCCAGGGGGGCCTTGGCCACGGTGCCCTGGACATCTGGACCTGCTTTCCCTGCCAGCAAGACAGCTGGTAACACCCAGGCAGAAGGTAGGTGCCAACAAGTGCTGCCAGTTGATGATCTCCCCCCCTTAGCCCAAGAAACTGATCTTTCAGAACTGTGTCTGAATCAGCCAGCCACGTGGAAGGGAAGAAGAAACCTGAGATGGAAGAAGCAGCTCCTTTTATCTAGGCAAGGGGAGGATAAAACTACTGGATGTCCGAGTGTCCTTGTCACATCCTGGCAACTCACAGCAGGGAGGCCAGGTCCGCTGGCAGGACCATGAGCAAGGGGACTCGGCACTGGAGGGGGGCTCTGGGGCAGCTATTTTGCTCAGCAGCCAACAGCACACTCTACCTGGAAACCTTCCGTCACTGGCTCCTGCTCAGGCCTCGAGGGGATGCTGATGAATGGATCGCTTGTACCCTACAAGAAAAGTACACCATGAATGCCTAAAGCCAGAACTCTGCCCAATGGCTATTAAGCTCCTGAGACAAGAGCTGTTCCTCTCCCCAGCTTCCTAACAGCCAACATTACAGGAACCCATTGAGGTCCAGGTTGGAAATCTCTTCCTGTGAAGACAAGCAAGCTCACTGCTTCCAGAAGGTGGGCCAGGAAGTCACTGCACTTAAGATTATCAATTCAAAACCTCATAGTCCTCAGGCTGGGCTGGCCGTGAAACCAGAGCACTGAGAGAACCGGAGAGGAGTGGCAGTCAGGGATCACTAGGCCCACTGTTGGTCCACTTGGTTAAAGTTCCTTCTCAGACCAAGCTGACATCTGAGAAGTCTGCTGACATACAGATCTTGCTTACCTCAGTTCTGGATTCTCCAGTGTCACCCAGCAAACCTGTCCCCACTCTGTCTCCTTCCATGGTCCCCCCCTGAGCCACGCAGAGCTCACTCATGCCCCAGCCTCCCTGTTCTGTGACTCCCCTCTGGTCATCAGGCCCATCCCACTCCTGAGGCAGAATGAGAGTCCAGCATGACATCAGCCCCATTATCTCGGCTCCCATCCCTCTGGAGAGTGACCGACCCATCCTGAAAGCTGGTGGTAACTCGGAGAAGCCCTTCTAAACACTCACCCCCACGGTGGGGATGGGGTCGCCATTCTGGAGGGTGCCAGTGGAGTCCTGACCCGAAAGAGTAGCTGTTGCCTCATCTGAAGACAGTGGAGAGATGCCAGACAAACCCTCAGCATCCAAGACAGGGAGGGGGCTCCCGGGGATGATGCCGGCACTTGTAGCTGCTAAGTCGACAGCACCTGACAACAGAAAAGACATTGCCAATGGGAGCTCTACTGACACCCCCAAACATACTCCGCAGTGCTCACAGGAATAGCCTCTCCCTCACGCCTCATTTCAAGGCAAGGGAAACAGATTTCCTGTTCTCTCTGGAGAATAATGAGACATGGTTTTGGGGAAGAAGAAAACAGAAACATCATTCACAAGCCTCACGTGGTGTCTGTCACCATGCCGGTCACAGAAACTTACTGGCCAGGTGGCCCGGGGCCTGGGGCGGAAGGACCTTGGGCATGATCGGCCGAGACAGAGCCGCTTTGGTGAGGGAAGACTGGATGGGCCGGAATGAGCCTCTACCTGTGAGGACAAAAACAGAAGCAGCCGCATCAAGCCCACTTGCCCCAGTGCTCTCTGACTGCATGGCAGGTACTACAAAGGATCGGCTTCACGGCCAGTTGGGACCATGGAAGCTGAGCCAAGGGGACACCACTGAACATTCCAAAACTGTGCTAACTTGGGGAAGTCAGAGGTCAAACGGGCCCCCAATGGGGAGAAAGCTCTGGCACCCGTGGTAACAGCACCACTGTGGCCCGTGGGGGCTGCTGAAGAGGGTGCTGTCAGCACTGTCATTCCCCTGGGAATGGCCCTTTCAGGGTGATGCACACCCAAGCGAAGCTACAAGCTCCTTTGAAGCAATGAGAGCATCAAATCTTGGATTAAGATTCTGCCTCTGCAATTGGGCTCTTTCCTACTAGGTTTTCTGTAGATGAAAAGAAGGCACAAGAAAAAGCAATTAATAGCTCTCTGGGTCCAGCAGTAAGTCAGTCTGAAATGTGAAAATCAAGGCTGATTTAAAAGCTAAATCACAGAGTTATGTGTTTCACTGAATAATTCTCACTGAAGTAAGAAAACCTTAGAGATCTACCCATGAAGGCCTGAGTTGTACATTTTTTCCCTAAAATGCCTGACAACCCCCGCCCCCCCGCGACAAACACACACAAAAACCAAACAAACAAGCTCAAAACAAAAAAACACCTGACAAGACATTATACAGAGAGGGCAGACTGAACTAAGCGAAGCATCCCTAACAGGGCTACCTGAGCCCACCTCTGAAGGAAGCTGCCTGCGGACCACCTGTCAGAGGGCCATGCCTGCCTGGCTCAGGGCACACTCAGTTTCTGCTGACAGAATGGACAAAGGAATGCTGCAAATGTCACTCCAACAGCCATAAAAGCGAATGTCTGTCATCCCCAAAGACGGGGCCACAGGAAAGTAAGGAGTGAAGAGCCAACCCCAGGAGACCCAGTGCTTACCGGTTATGGAGGAATTTGACATGATAGAGAAGGAGCAGACGTTGTGGGACTGGTTTTCAGAAGGTCTAGGAAGCAGGGTTCTCTGTGGAGGGAAAACTGACAATCAGGTAATAAACATCACTCAGGAAACCAGCAAAGACTTGTAAGGGGATATTCCAGACAACAGTGAACTGAGATTGTAAGCAGATGGTTCTGGGTTCTAGGGCTATTAACACAGAGCGCCTGGGACAGTCTGAGGATGGCTATGTCCTGTAGACCCAGAGAACTCTGAACATCGGGTCCTCTCTGAAAAAAATGCCGAGGGATCAAACCTTCCTGCAGGGAAACTGGAGGAATGTCAGAACCATCCACTGTTAATTCAGAATATTCTTACGGATTTGGATGGAATGCAACTAGTCATATATATATGTGTGTTTATAACCACTCTGTGTGGACTATTAAAAAAGACTCATATTCTGGGCCTCCTCAAATTTGGGGTGTAAACATAAAGTTGCTGCCTGTAACACAGACAGGCTAAAGGCCTGAGGCCTTCCACCCCATCTCACAGTCCCAGTGCCCACCCCTCCCTATCTGCCCAGGACTCCTACGTGTGAATAATTAAGTTCTAATGTGAAGAACACCATTTAAAGAAATTATATTAGCCCTGGCCAGGTAGCTCAGTTAGAGCACCATCCCAATACGCCAAGACTGAGGACTTGATCCCCAGTCAGGGCACATACAAGAATCAACCAATTTAAGTGGAACAACACATTGTTGTTTCTCTCTTTCTCTCCCCCACCCGGCTTCCTCCCTAAAAATCAAATAAAAAATTTTTAAAAAATAATAAATTATATTAATTGCTCAAACTGTTATTCACTGAAGTTGAAACATTAACAGAAAGTATCTGTCAACCTAAAAGTGTCTGAGGACCTCTGGCTCTGGGGCACAGCTGCATCTCCACTAAAGCACAAGGGACATCTATCTCCGTGCCCCTCAGAGGCGCCCCCAAAGTGTTGGCAAGGAGTAGAGGAGGTGTTACTGGGCTGCAACCTTGACTGGGCCATTAGGTCCGCTTGGATGCTGCTGCTGCATCCAACAGGCAGGTGACCTGTTAACTAGGTGAGGAGCTGGAGATGTGCCGGCTCTGCTCCACATGCACTTTCTGAGAGGACTAACTAGGTGAGGAACATTTAGGCTTTGGGGCCCTATGTTCTGTTACAGCTACTCATCTTCACCCTGGTGGTATGAAAGCAGCTGTGGGCACTAGGGAAATAAATGACTGGCTGTGTGCCAATTAAATGTTTAATGAAAACAATAAATGGAAAGACAACATACTGTGTGTGATTCCATTTATATCAATGCCCAGAACACGCAAATCGACAGAGACTAAAAGTAGATTTGTGGTTGCTAGCGACTGACAGAGGGGGCAATGCAGGTAATGTGTGCAGGGTTTCTGTTTGAGGTGATGAAAATGTTCTGGTATTAGATAGTGGTGATGCACAACCCCGTGAATATGCCAAAAAACCGTATACTTTAAATGGGTAACTTTACATGAATTATATATCAACTAGAGGCCCAGTGCACGAAAATCGTGCACTGGGGGTGGGGGGGGCAACCCTCAGCCTGGCCTGTGCCCTCTCACAGTCCGGGAGCCCTTGGGGGATGTCCGACTGACTGCTTAGGCCCGCTCCTAGGGGAGTGGGCTTAAGTGGGCAGTCGGATATCCTTAGCGCTGCCGCAGAAGCAGGAGAGGCTCCCACCACTGCCGCTGCAGCTTCTAGCTGAGCAGCACTGCCCCTGTGGGAGCACACTGACCACCAGGGGGCAGCTCCGGTGTTGAGCGACTGCCCCCTGGTGGTCAGTGCACATCACAGTGACTGGTCATTCAGCCGTTGGGTCGATTTGCATATTAGCCTGTTATTATATAGGATAAAGCTGTTAAAATAATCAAATATACTAAAATCAAATGCATTAACACTGAATTACAGTTGGCCCTAAAACACAGGTTTGAACTGTGTGGGTCCACTTATACATGTATTTTTTTCAGTAACTACCTGTACTGTTTTCAATTCACTGTTGGGAGTCCACGGATGTAAAGGGCCGACTATATACATTGATTGACACCATTTTATATAGGGGACTTGAGTATCCACAGATTTTGGTGCCCATTGGGCACCCTGGAATCCATCCCCTGCAGATACTGCGGGACAACTTAAGTTTTTGAAGGAGTCAAAAGTTATACACAGATTTTTGACTGTGCAGGAGGTTAGCACCCCTTACCCCTGCACTGTTCAAGAGTCTACTTGTAGTCTACACACACACACACACACACACACACAAACACAACCCACTTGGGCTTTAGAATATATCTTCCTTCCTAGGACCATCATGCAATCTCTCATTTCTATATAAATTAATCTCAAAAGATTTCTAAGGGTCTAACAAAAGAGACCTATGCATTAATCCAAAAACAATGCATATTAATAACTTTCTAAGCCCAAAGTCATACCAGAATTTCCACTTCACCTCTTTTATCCTTTTACTTCCAAATAAACTGCCCTTTTTCTCACGTGTGTCTCATTGCTGTATCTCCCTCTCTGGTCTGCATGTCACCTACAGGTCCACCAGGGTTTATCATTATGGCCTATCCATATACCTTACCCACTGCTTCCACTGACTACATATTTACAAAGAGATGTTCTGAGCATCCTCAAATATATCCCAATCCAAAACATTCTTAGGACTCGAGTCCCATAACTTTCTGTCTTTTTTGCAAGTGGTTTTCGTTATATAAAGATTATCATTTTTGTTTTGTTTTGTTTAATTAATCCTCCACCTGAGGATATTTTTACATTGATTATTTTTTTTTTTTAAGAGAGACTGGAAGGGTGAGGGAGAGACAGAGAGAAACATAAATGTGAAGGAGACACATCTATTGGTTGCCTCCTACATGCACCCTGACCAGAGTCGGGGATTTACCCTGCAAACGAGGTTTGTACCCTTGACTGGAATTGAACCCGTGACCCTTCAGATTGAGGGCCAACACTAACCACTGAGCAAAGAGGCCAGGGTAAGATGATCTTCATTTTCAGGTACAGTAAGGGTCACTGTTATTACTTTATTTACCCTATTCTTAAGAAGGGAGAAAGTGGCAGGGATTCTCCATTTCAGTTGAACACTCAAGACACGGGAGAAAACCAGTGTGTCGGGCAGCTTGGCCAGGGGGAGCCCAGCTATGCAAACCTGACCAGTGTTCCTGACCTGGACCACCAGCGGCTTCCGTAGGTGCCGGTTCTGCAACTTCCGGGGCTTTGGCAAGAAGAAATCCGACTGCATCTATGAGGAAAACAGTGTCCGATCCCTGAGTGTTTTCACAGCAAACATGGGTCTGCAGGCAAGCAGAGGGGAGCATTCCCTGCACTTACGCTGATGGAGTTCAGATGCTGAAGGAAAGTCAATTCTGTCTCTTTATTAGGAGAGAAGAGCTTCCCGTGTCGGCTGTTGGGTGGCAAAGTTGTTGGGACAGCAAAAAGGCCACCATCTGAGTCACTGCTTCCTGTGCTAGAGGAACCAGCCACCAAGAGGGGTCTTGGAGGGTTTCTCAAACCTAGAAAAGGAGAAGGGAAGTGAATAGAATACCCTCACCCAGCAACATCTCCAGTGTGAATGGAGTTCTACTGGAAAGAAAATCAAGAAGAATTCCTGACAACCTGTTCTGTTTCCTGGAAAGGAGTTCCCTTTTTCTTAGTCCCATAAAACCTGCTTTTCCATCTTTCTCCCTGAAATTCTAGTTTCCAACCTGAGCAGATCATAGCTCTTCCTGACAGGATAAAGAAACTTTACCATTTTGTTTGAGCCTTGGTGGGAAAGGCAGCTAGGCATTCATTTTTCAGAGCTAGAAGAACCTAGCAGAATATCTAGTGTAGAACAGAGGTCAGCAAACTCTCTCTTTAAAGATAATAAATATTGCTTTGTGGGCCTGCAGACTCTGCTAATCTCAATCCTGCAGCTGTAGTACAAAAGCAGCTACAGGCAACATGTGTATGCACCAGTGAGCACAGCCATGTGCCAATAAAACTTTATTTACAACAACTAGGCCGTGGGCCATAGTTTGCTGATGCCTGGTCTAAATCTGTAATTACAGTGGGGCCTTGACTTATGAGTGTCCCAACTAACGAGTTTTTCGAGATACGAGCTGTCTCTCGGCCGATTTTTTGCTTTGAGTTGCGAGCTAAAATTCGGGTTACGAGCCAGCTTCAGATACCCCACCGTTAGTTGGCGTAGCGAACGTCACAGTGAACGCCATAACATCAGCCCAGCATCACGTGTCTCACTGGTTCACTGTTGATTTGACATACGAGTAATTTGAGTTACGAGCTCCATCACGGAATGAATTAAACTCGTAAGTCAAGGCCCCACTGTATACAGAAAACCGACCCAGAAATAGAGGGACAGAAAGTAGTTATTTAGGAACCACTATTTTGGGACTCTGCTAGCTGTTACCATAGATGCTGCTGCAAAGCACCCTTGATTCATGGTAGAATGGATCTCCTTCCCTTCTTCTTCTTTTTTTAAAAGATATTTTTATTGATTCCAGAGAGGAAGGGAGAGGGAGAGAGAAACATCAACGATGAGAAAGAATCATTGATGGGCTGCCTCCTGCACTCCCCCTACCGGGGATCGAGCCCGCAACCCAGGCATGTGTCCTGACTGGGAATTGAATTGTGACCCCCTGGTTCGTAGGTTGAGGCTCAACCACTGAGCCACACTGGCTGGGCTCCTTCCCCTTTTCTTTTCCATTTTTTTTTAAAATATATTTTATTGATTTTTTACAGAGAGGAAGGGAGAGAGATAGAGAGTTAGAAACATCGATGGGAGAGAAACATCGATCAGCTGCCTCCTGCACATCTCCTACTGGGGATGTGCCCGCAACCCAGCAGGTACATGCCCTTGACCGGAATCAAACCTGGGACCTTTCAGTCCGCAGGCTGACACTCTATCCACTGAGCCAAACCGGTTTCGGCCCCTTTTCTTTATTTGCAAATCTGTGAGGTTACACTGACACTCATGGTATCAGAGACCAGGTCTTCTAAGCACTGGTATGGATTTTAGCACTGCAGGTGGATTAGTCCAGAAGGATCCTTAATTAAGAAAGAGGATGGATATTAAAGAGTACACAGAATCGAAAATTTTAAAAACAGAATGCACAAAGAATATACAATCTACCAGCTAGCCCTATCGAGTACAGTGACTATATCTGCGAGAACAACCAATTCACAGCATGCTGCTGCTCTCCTTATGAATTATAGCAAGGAAAACAGGATCAAGGTGGAGAAAACAAAACTAAGACCTGCAGGAGGTGGAGAGTCTGACACAGCAGCAGCCCAGTTTTCCTAAAGGCTCCTATGAAGTGCTCTCAAGGAAATGGAATCTTCGAGCACTTAACAGGCGGGCTATTTGCAACACAGTAAATAAGTGAAGACATAATGCTAATAACATTCACTGACCAGAAAATAACCCTAGAGCAGGGATTTTCAAATTTTGTTGCCACAAGTCTTTTTAAAACATGCAACATCTGAGCATTTAGTCAGGGGCACTAACCTCTTTTCCAGCAGTTCTCAACCTGTGGGTCGCGAACAATGAAAATACATCCTGCATACCAGATATTTACATGACAATTCATAACAGTATCAAAATTACAGTTATGAAGTAGCAACAAAAATAATTTTACGATTGGGGGTCACCATAACATGAGGAACCGTATTAAAGGGTCGCGGGCATTAAGAAGGTTGAGAACCACGGCTCTATTCCCTTAAAATGTCAAATAAAAACAATGACAACAGCCAACACAATAGCCGTCCATGTGAATGAGTCAAAATTATGCTTTTTTTTTTGGTCAGATCGGCAAAAAGTGTATTTTTTGGTGTGCCGCAGGATTTTAGTAATTAGTTGATGTATGCCATCAGATGTAAAAGGTTGAAAATCACAGCCCTAGAGCACCGTTAAAACACCAGGACCCTAGGTCTCTTCAGCCAAAAAGTTACTGCAGGTTTTGGGGCACCCATCTAGGTCAGAGTAAGATCAGAGGCAGGACCGCCTCACCTCTTGTATGATGCACACTGGTCACCATTGCAAGGACCAGGACAGCAGAGGGTCCTGAAACTCCTCATGCCTGGGGTGGAGGCCTTCTTGGCCACAGGACACAAAGGAAACACCAGGCCTCAGCCCCACTATCCCTGCATCCCCATCTCACCAGGTCAGTCTCAGGAGGGGTTACAAGACTTTGCTGGAAGAGAGGAAGGAAGGCTCAAGTGCAGTCAGCACAGCCTTACACCAGTGCCGCACAGCACATGCACGTTTCTTTTTCTACCTTTAAAATTCAGGATTCTAGCCATGGCAATTATTAATGTTTTACTATAAAAATACTAAGCAAGGCCAGGCCGGTGTGGATCAGTGGTTGAGTGTCGACCTAGGAACCAGGAGGTCACAGTTTGATTCCTGGTCAGGGCACATGCCTGGGTTGTGGGCTCGATCTCCAGTAGGGGGCGTGCAGGAGGCAGCCCATCAATGATTTTCTCTCATTCACTGATGTTTCTCTTTCTCTTTCCCTCTCCCTTCCTCTCGGAAATCAATAAAAATATACTTAAAAAAAAAAAACTAAGCAAGGAAAACTAATGCCTCAGGGAAGCAGGTCAGGTTGATCCTGGTTTTATGTACCCAGTAACCCAAATAAGGACCCTGAATTAAAATGTCTCCCAGATATACAACTGGGGCAAAGGAACACAGTGGACTGGCAGGTCAGACCATCTCTTTCCAAGGTTTGTGTTGTATTGCTGGGACTTCCCTGAACTTAGGTTTCTTTACTCGAATATTTTAGGTGTAAAGAAAAACAGTCTCATGGCCAATAGGGTGGTGAAGACCTGTGGGGGTGGGTAGGGGCGGGAAATGTCTCTGTAATACGGTCAACAATAAAAAATATTAAAAAGGAAAACAGTCTCTAGAAGATTCAGTAAGAACCAACCCTTCTCAGCCTCTAAACCTCCAACTCAGCAAGTTATGGAGGCTTCTGCTGCCCTCACAAAGCCCAATCCTCCCAAGTGAATGGACTGACAAGGGCTACCTGTTTTCCACTGGCTCATGCACCCTAGGATCCCAAAGCCCTTGGTGACAGGCTCACATTCACCCTTCCTCTGAGGAAATGGTGATTTCCGTTTTCCTCCCCTCCCCCGCTGGACCGTGGCTGACTGGAGCCAGGCCTCAGGAATCCCTGTGCCTTCGGACCTGGCACAGCCCCCATGCCCAGCGGGGCACCCAGAATGGTGGGCCCTTGGTCAAAGTGGCTGCTGAGCCTCACCTGAGGAGGGACAAGGCGCAGAGCTGGGAGAGAAGGTCTTGCTGTTGCGAAGGGCAGACTGGTTTCGAGGGCAGCGGGGGCTCCGGGAGCTGATGTTCACCACCTTCCCTGGGGGGGTCGTCGACTGTTCCTCCTGGGCGGGTCTCGCTGAGGCCATGGAGCTGGCGTTCGATTCTGGAGCCTAGGTCAGAAATGGGCAGAAACAACAGCCACACTCAGCCCATGAACAATGGTTCTGGAATGAGTGCCCAGGAGCAGGAGGCACCAGAACTCCCTGAAATCAGATGGACAGCAAAGGCTAAGCGACCACATTCCACGATGGCAAAGGAAAGCACCCCTGCGTCACTCCGCAGTGCCAGCATTCAAAATCACCAGTCAGCTGGGCACTGAGGGAACCAGGGCTCTCCCTCCTGAAACCTCTGCCCTCACTGCCCACAGGCAGGTGGCATGGACTGGCAAACCATCAGGAAGTGACTAGAGGAAGGGAGGGAGGGGGACATATGGCTGAAAGCATTGAGCACCCCAGCCCGCCCAGGAAGGGCTCTCGCTGCCTAAAGATGCTGAATTGCAGGGACCGCAACTAGCCTTTAGAAAACAAGCCTAAGACGACTGCCATGGCCTCTTCTTATTGCGAGTAGAAAAGACATACAGATTTAACTTCTAGAATGAAACGCAATCACAGCTGAAGAGCTCCCTGCTGAATCAAATCCCAAACCCCAGGGGTTTCATAGACTGCTGCCTGAGGGCACTGCCTCCACTCTTGAGCCCTCAACAGAGACACCCTTCCATCCAGCTGTTCTCACCCTGGTGACTTTACCAACCCCGTCCTCCACATTCTCCGAGGTACCCACACCCAAGGCCCACTGGGGGACCTTCCAGTAAATTACAGAACCCATTATCCACACTCTCAGCACAGCCTCACCTGCTCTGCCTGCCAGAGGCCCCATGCCTCCTCTGTACCTCCCATGGCCCTTCAGCCCCCAGCCCTGACCCTCCTTCTCCTTTCCATAGGACCCCTCCCCCTTACCCCACCCCCCTACCTCTTCCTGCTGAGCTTATTTAATCTGACTCACTATTCAATTGTCCAACTGAGTGCCCAGCAGGCCTCTTGTCAGCATTCTGACCCCCGGGCACTTGCTCTTGTCAGCATTCACCCAAACCTCAGCAGGAGGGAGACCAAAAGGCCAGGCTATCCATCTTTAACTCAAGGTTCCCATTCTCATCGGGGGCCTCTGGTCAGCAGCTCTCACACCCGAGAAGCATCAGCATCACCTGGTAGAGGGTGTCAAAACATGGTCTATAGCCTGGCTGGTGTGACTCAAGGTTGAGTGTCAACCTATGAACCAGGAGGTCACAGTTCCATTCCTGGTTGGGGCACATGCCTGCTTGGGTTGCAGGCTCAATCCCCAGTGGGGGACGTGCAGGAGGCAGCCAATCAATGATTCTCTCTCAACACTGATGTTTATATATCTCTGTCCCTCTCGCTTCCTCTCTGCAATCAATAAAAATATATATATTTTTAAAAAACCACAGTGTATAGGGTCCCCAGAACTGCATCTCTAGCAAGTTCCCAGGTGAAGCTGAGACTGTTGACAGGGGACCCACTTTGGGAACCATGGCTCTGAGCACTCCGCTTTGTGTTCTCTGCAATAGTATTTCCAACCTGCTCCACTCTCCTCTTCAGTTGAGGCCAAAGCCACTACCTCAGCTGTGTTTCCTCCAGCATTCTCAGGAGCCAGTCTAGCTTGGCCTCCTTCCATAAGGTATTGGACATACTCATGTGTCCCCCATTCTCTTTTCCTGACCCCCTCCAAAAGACAAACTTGAAAACGTTTTTAAACTCAAAACCTCTGCTCAGTCACCCTAGTATTGCCCATGCTGCCCATGCCTGACCGAGGGGCACCTCCACGCTGCGAAATCCAAAGGCCATCTCTCACCGTCAGGCCTTGCCTCACCAGCCTCTGTAGCATCCAGCCAGTTCCCACCCACCTCTCACAAGGCACTGATTGACTTCACCTGCTCCACTGGGAGCCTCTGTGTACAAGCACTGCCTGGGGCACAGCTGAGAAAACGGAGAGGAACCTGATGGGAGAGTCAACCAGAAACCAAGGCAGAACAGCAAATTCACAGACTGAGCGTCTGTTCAGGGAGAGTGGAAGGTGTGGTGTGTGCTCTCAGGCACCACTTACACTTGGTACTGACTGTGAATCAGTACTGAGGGGTGCACAGTGAGCCTGCAGTCCTGGCCTGTCCCCCAAAGCCACAGCATTCAGCTCCCTCAGCTGTCCCTCCGGGAACCTATGAGCCTCCAGGCTTCTAAACACCACGCATACACTGCTATTTCGGGAACAGCCTACATTAGGACTCTGCTCGTGTCCAGGAGATCCTACAAGACTTTCCCATCAGCAAGTCTCTGCCCCATTTGCAGCTCTGCTAATCAGCCTCCCCTGGTTGGGGTCACATGCCATGGCCTACCTGGCATGACCACCCCTTCCCTGGGCCACCATGGTCACTCCCTGGGCTCAGGGATCACCCACTCACCTTGGACCCTCCTGAGGAGCCCCAGACTACTTCAACTAGCCGTCTCCTGGACAGCGACCCACGGAGGCCGGCCTGCAGAGGTTTCCTGGGTGCAGCCCCACAAAGCTAAGCCCCACACCATGCAGCTCTCAGCCCCAGCATTCCATTTTCCCCCTCCAGCTCCACTCCCTTCACTGAGGCTGTGCCACCACTGTCCTCCCAGGACAGCCATTCTGAAGTGCAAACTCGACCTTGTCAATCCTCTGCAGAAACCTGCAACCCTCCCGACACCTAGAGAAAATCCAATCTGGCTCCGTCCTGGCCAAGACTGCCACCTCACCTCTGTACACTGACCGCTTGGCTGGCACGCTCAGGGCTCAGCAGAATCACTGGAGCCTAGCAAGCCCAACAGGCATGGCCTGCTGGTTGCTGTCCTCTTTGGAGCCCTGTGTGAGCCTAGAGCAGAGGACAGGGCCCTTGTCTGGCAAGAAGCCAAAGCCCTGGCCAGTGCTCAGCATGGCCTCGTTCAATAAAATGAAATATGGTCTGTGAGAACCTCTGCCTCTCTGGTCACTGAGATCCCTGCCTCCTGCCCTTCCCTGAGAAGCCAGTGGGACTCCTGACCACCTGCTATGGGGCTGGGCCTGATTGCCCTCTGGGTGCCAACAGAGCCGTGCGGACACTCACTCACCAGTCTGGGGTTGACCTCAGTGGAGATGAGCTTCAGGAGGCAGCTGAGGAGGCGCTGCTTGTGAAAGGCGGCAGGTGGGGAACCACCAGGGGCCTGGCCCTCGGGGCCCAGCTCGGCCAGCCAGTCATACTCCAGCTGCAGCTTGCTTGGCTTTCCCATCATGAGGTAGACTTCGGCCAGTGTCAGGCTCTCGGAGGTCTGCAGGTTCCAGCCCTCTTCGCGGAGCTGCTGGGCCAGCCGGCTGGCAGGGACATCTTTTGGAGGCTTGGCAGAAGGCTGTCCCTGAGGTGGCGGGGGGTCCGAGGGGCTCACCTTCTCCTGGGGCTCCTCCGCAGGAGCATCTGCTGAGTCTTTAGTGCAAACATCTGGCTGGAGCCCTGGGCTGGGCTGAGGCTCCAGGCCAGATAGGCCACGGACAGGAGACGGTGCCCTGGTCTGGGGAAGGTTGGCCACCTCTGCGCTGCTGGGGGCTTGAGTCTCTGGGGAGACACAGGCCGAGAGCCGAGAGTCTGCACAGTGGCACGGCTCAGGGAGGATGAGGTCCTGGCAGGACTTCATGTAGCGGGGGAAGGGGTCTAGGAGAGAGAGATCGTCCTCCAGCTCTGGGAGCTGGCCACAGGCACAAGTCGTGGCCCTGGGCTCTTGGGCTGGGCCGTCCCCAACCTCTACAGGAGCTGCCGTAGGGGTCTGTACCCCAGCATCCTGGAGCCCAGGGGGAAGCCTGTCAGGAGCGTTCGGGCTGCTGAGGCTTGGGGCAGCCCCCTCCCCAAGGGCACTTTCAGGGGAACTCTCTCCAGAGCTCTGAGAAGTGTCCATGGAGGGAGGAGGCCGCCCCCCGCCCTTGCCTTCGGTGCCGCTCCTTGGGCACTTCACTTGGCCCCTGGCTGTACCCTGTCCGCTCTGGATGCCCAGGATCTGAGCTGGGAGGCAGTGTGTGGGCATCTTTAGGAGCTCTGTTTTGCACCGGCCACCCTCCTGCCAGTGCACCGTGCAGAAGGCCTTAGAGTGCACCACACGGGCCACTCCTGGAAGTGGGGTCAGCGTACAGTTCTCCCCAGGGAACAGGTGCAGCATTACTTTCTCCTGTGACGGCTCCACAAACGAATCCTGCAGCTGCCGCTCCGCGAGCGTCTTTCGCTTAGCGCACTGTCAAGGAACCACCTGTAGCAGCACCCGCCCCTGGGCATCACAGGGCCTTGGGAAAGGCATGACTCAGGTACTTCCTTCTTTAGGAACCTACTCCCAGCACACACTGTTCTTGCTGTGGACTGGGCAGGGCTGGGAGCTGGCTAAGGAGACGTTTGACACTATCCTTAGTCATTTGATCAATCTGCTCCCAGGGATGTTTACCCCATACCCCACGGGCCAGATGGTAGTTGCTCACCACATGGAGGGCTGCTGTGACACAGTTCTAACACTGCAAGGTAAAAGGGGACCACACACCCAAAACCCGGAGGAAAAGGGGCTATGGATTTTAGTTCTGGCTGTATACCATCTCACAGCATAGCTGCTATGCCACATTGGCCCCAGTGCAATCCTGGGAGTGACAGGCAGGACAGACACCATTCTGAGGCAGCAGATGCTGTAGATATGATGGTGGTGGTGGTGCGGGGGGGGTTGCTTTAATAGGAAAAAGATACAATTCGCACTTCATGGAGCTCCCATTTCTGCTTCAAAAATTCAATGAGGCTGGAGACCTTCCGATGGAGCTCCACAATCATCCTATAGGAAACAAAAATGGGAAGAGGAAAGCTGTTACCATGGGGATAGAACCGTCTGAAGAGCCCCCGGGCTGCTGGCAGCAAGTCAATGCCATAAAGAGTAAGGTACCACGGCGGGGCCAGAGCCACGATGACTCCTTTTCTTAAAAATGAACCTTTTAAATTGAGTAACTAGAGACTCATATGAAACTGCAAGAAGATAAAGCGGACACCTATGTACCCTTCACAGTGCAAGATCTCACCCAGAACATGGACCTGGGCACAGCCCACCTAACTATTCTAATAAGCACCTTTCGGGTCAGAAGGGGAGGCCTGGCCAGCCTTAATAACCCCGAGAAATAAAAATACACATGGGAGGAATGAAGCAGACACACCACCATGTGGATGCTCAGCACCTGAAAACATGATGCTCAGTGTGAGGTCAGAAAGAAAGATAGGAGATTCCACTTATGTCTAACATCCAGAACAGCCAATCTATAGAGGCAGAAGGTACATCTGTGATTGCTGGGGGCCAAGGACCAGGGGCGGGGGATGAGAAGCAACTATTTAGTGGAAACCAGGCTTCCTTTTGGAGTGCCAAAAATATTCTGGAACTAAACAGAAATGGTAGCTGTACAATACTGTGAAAGTATTCAAGTGTCCTGAATGGGATACCTAGAAATGGCTAATGGTTAATTCTATGTTATGTGACTTTTACCTCAATCTATAAAAATAAAAATGTGTAACTGGAAAATGGTCTGTACTCACCGTGGTGCCCCATCCACAAATCAGATACCAAACTTTAGGGAATGGTAAGAGGCAATGGAAAGGGAATGGGGGAAATGCTATAGTCATCAACTTGCTAATCACATCTTTCTACATCCGCTCCTGGCCTGCGAGACTCATGCCTCCAGGCCCCCAGCAGTACACTACCCTCACCCTACCCCCGTGTAATTTTGGAGCATCACTCAGGGGTCCATGAGGGAACCCGTATACCACCCTCTGTTCACATCCCTCCCAGCTGGCTCCCTATCAAACTCCAAAGGCAGTTACCTGAGCCTGGGGTTCTGGGAGAGGCTCTGTACGCGGGCCCAGGCATGATTGTTCCGTGGCTGTAGCTCTACGGGGACTCTCAAGGGCAGACGCACTGGCTTCTGGTCCTCTTCATCACTCAGGCCTGCGACAAGAAGGGGCTGTGAGAGCCTGGCCAACAAACTGCCATGCAGAAGGCAAAGTGGTTGGCCAGACAACTCGATCAGGAGGAGCCGTGGACAAATGGCCTGGGAGGCGAAGCAGAGCTGGCAGAGAAGCCCACGAGAAGCGCCAATATGGCCACTAGGGTACCCGCAAAGCCGGGGCAATGACTGGGCCACACGAGGCCACGGGACTCCCTCCTGCCACCACTCACACTACTGAATGCTGTGAGTGGACACACTGCTTTGGACCCAAGAATTGCTCATGGGTTTGGGAATGCTCGGACACAGAGCTCGGCCTATCGATTGCTAAATGGAGAAGAGAAAACACGCCCCCAACCCCACCCCAGCCCACCTTCTACGTACCATCTGGGTCACAGAGCTTCTTCAGGGCTCGGCACATGGGCGCTTTGATTCGCAGGTTTCTTCCTTTGTAACGCACTGTGGTGGCCCTGGGAAAATTTTTAAAGAAATGCTGAGACCTCTCAATGAACAGTAGCTCCCTGTCCTGCGCAGGGAGGCCCTGGCTGGGCACCCATCCTGGCCTTCAGAGCTCCTGCTCAGCCCTATGGCTCTGGATGTCCAATACTTTCCCACTCACACCTCACACTGTAAAGGGGATGCCTGTCATTCACAGGAAACTTGCCCTGCCTCCTGCCTGGTGATGGGTGCGGCATCAGCTGCTGTCCACCCCCCTGGAAAGCCCATGACGGTGAGACCCCCTCAGATACCAGATGATTTACCCTTCTCTCCTCTTCCTCCACAGGATCCCTTGTGAGTAGGTTTCAACCCATCTCTATGTGACCTCAACCCAACTCAGAGACCACATCTTCACGTCAGCACTGTCCCCCAGCCCCCCAGTACCTCTGGAAACCATACTACTGGGACCTGGGGTATAGGGCACTCACAGCCAGCAGGCACGGGGCATCAAGTCAGTGGGCCTGCTTCAAGTCTGTCTGTCACAGATGCCAGTGACACTGTGAGCACTGCTGTGGCAGGACTTTAGATAGTGTTAGAATTAAAGAAATACTATAAACGAGTACAAAAGCCACAAAAATAGTTTCTTCTAATAAACACACTTAGAATGCTTTGGAATTACTCAATAAGGGTAGATTGTTTTTTAAAAATGACAGTCAAGTGAGTGCGGACAAGACAACTGTGAAAGACTGAGGGTGACTGGAAGCACCCTGCAGCCCCACTGCCGTGCATTTCTATGCTGGTTCCGCTTGAAAACGGTTAATTGCAATGCATCTTGACTAGCGCTTCTAAAATAAAAACCACCCAGAACTCTGAGGATGGGCCCCGTCAAAGAAAAGGCCTTGGCCAGCCAGCTGTGTCTGGTAAGCAAATGTAGGTTTCTGTTTTACAAAAGTTTCAAGGTCCGTGTATATTGTTTTATAACTGTTTTTTTGTTTGTTTGTCTGTTTTCTAGAGGCAAACATATAACCTATTCTTTTTATTTCTATTTAAAACCAAGTCACCTTAGCAAGAGGATTTGCAGACAGGGAAGAGAAACCATGGGCAGGAAAGGTTTATGTTTCTGTTCTCCAGCATCCACACAACAGGGAGGTTTGCCCATGTTGTGCTCAGTAATGGGTGTCATGAAGTTTTATGACTCTATTTTAACCAACTTTTCTAATTGGCTAACTCCCAGCTGTGGCCCCAGAAAGCCGGCCCCCCCAATTCTGTCAGGAGGAGCAATTCAGAGAGGATAAGAGTCCACATGAACCACCACCACACTCCACTGAGACCACAGCTTGAGTTTTAGCCACCTGAACTCATGGGCGATCCAGGGCCACAAGGTGCTACTGAAGAGGGAATTGGGAGGAGAGCTTTAAAACAGCAGTAATTGAGCACCAAGTCGAATCTTAAACAACCTCCTCCAATAAAGGGCTCTGGGGACAAGTGGACTTTCCTGCCCATCATCACTTTTGGTTGCATCTGCCCCCAAACAAAACAAAACAGTAGCAGGCAAGACTTAAAGAGCAGGTGGAGCTGTGTCATGTGGCACCTGTGTTTGTGATGATCACATTTTCCGTTAAACTGCTATTTTGTGACTTCCTTTTTTTAAAAAAAAAAGTGAAATTGAGCAGCCCCCTTTTTATGACTAAATAACCATCCTGAGAATACAACTCCTTTCCTTTTCTCTCAAATGGAAGTTCTATGAGCAGCCTGAGTTTGGAGCCTGTACAAGGTAAAGCCATGTTCAAGCTCACACAGAAAAGGCCTCTCAAGGCCTGGCCTGGTCCTGGGACATGACCTGCACTCCCCACCCTCACACACCAACCCCGTGGCGGGAAGACAGGCGAGACTACTGACAGGCCAGGCCAGCTTGACCTCTGATGGAAAGTAACAAAACCCCTGCACTTGAGTGTTACTTTGACAAAACAGGCAACAGAATAATTCCTCTAAGTGCATGGGAGTCTGGCTTTCCAATCTGAGAGGTTTATTTTCTTCTCTGCAGTTATTTGATAAATCCAATAAGCATGCTGCTGGGTCTGTGACCAATGTAATAAGATTCAATTTTAGAGCTTTTCTCAATTCATTCACTCTTTTATCTAATTCTATAATTTTATAACAAAAGGAGATCCACAGTTAATTGAAAAAGGTCTGCAGGAGAAGCACAGACAGGAAGTTGGTTAAATACGCAATGCTTTTTGGTCTTAAATCAAGGCACTGTACTAATTTCCCCGCATCTGTTTCGCCTGTACAAGGCTTTTGCTTTGTACTAAAAAACTGATGTCTATTGGTGAAAGAATGGACCCAAATCAATAGAACAGACTTAAAGGTCTTGAAAAAGACACACTTAGTACGGTCAATTGACCTTAGATGACGGTCCTTTCTACAGAAAAGGCTGGGACAACTGGACACCCATAGGCCAAAAATATAAACCTACGTATAAACTTTACATCATATAATAAAAAAAAATCCAAAGTAGGGCATGGGTTTAAATGTCAAACTATAAATCTTTTAGAAGGAAACAGGCGAACATCTTTGTGACCTTATTAGGCAAAGGGTTCTTAGCTACAACACTTTAGTCCACAAAAGCAAAGGATGGCAAATTGGATCTAAACAAAACTAAATACTCTGCCCTTTGAAAGACACTAGTAAAGAGATGATGAGACAAGTCACAGAGTGGAAGAAAATATTTACAAATCACCTATCTGATAAAAGACTGGTGTCTAGAACAGCAATCGCCAACCTTTGGGAACTCACGGACCACTGGTCTAGAATATATATATAAAGAACTCTCTAAACTCAAACATAAGAAAATAGGTACAAGATTTGAACAAACACTTCCCCAAAGAAGAAATAAAAATGGTAAAGCAGCACAGGAAAGATGCTCAACATCATTAGTCATCGGGGAAATGCTAATCAAAACCACAATGAGCCCAGCCAGCGTGGCTCTGGGTTGAGTATTGACATATGAACTAGGAGGTCACGGCTAGATTCCCGGTCAGGGCACATGCCCAGGTTACAGGCTCCGTCCCCCGTATGGCGTGCAGGAGGTAGCTAATCAATGATTCTCTCTCATCATTGATGTTTCTATCTCTCTCCCTCCCCTTCCTCTCTGCAATCAACAAAAACACACACTCACAATGAAATACCACTTCACACCCACTAGGATGGTTCAAAAGGAGCTACTGGACCTCTCCCTGGAAAGTTCTGGCAGTTCCATATAGAGTTAGGCACACACTTACCATCTCCTCCCCTGAAGATGTGCCCAGGAGAAAAATGTTTAAAGTTGGAGCAAATACAGCTTCCACCTGACAAATGCAGGGCAGGTGTAAGGGTGGGAAGGAATATGGGATGCTGAAGCTACAACAGGTAAATGGGGTGGGGAGGTGACAAAAGATCCACAAGGCCACGGCAGGTGGCCTCTTCCTACTTACTTGCCTAATCATACCCCACACACATCCAGGAGGCTCCGTTTGCCCAACACCACCAGTAGTTAAGACTACCTACACTCCTGGCGGTTGGAGTGGGTCTGCTCTTTCACATGGTGGGGATATGTACATCCTAGTTACTATCATGACTAGCTGCAAAAGGGCAGCAGTTCATAGAAATAAAGCCTTGAGAATGCAATACGAGCATCTGTAAGAGCATCCATGCTGGGCTGGAGCCCAAGCAGAAGCACATACAGCGAGCCCCACCTAGCAGGAGCTCACACCTGAGGAACAGGGGCTCACAGGCCATCCAACCCCGGGCTGGGGGAGACAAGAACCAGAGGTACAGGAAGGCGATGCTCTGGATACAGCAGAGGCCAGCGAAGACTGTTCCAGGAGATAGTTCGACCTACAGGACAGCTGAGCTTTGACCAGCAGAGATCTCGGGTGGTGGGGGAGATGACCTAAGACAAGGAACGGAGTGGTCCGGGTGAAAGCGCAGAAGCGCTGGTGGGGTGAGTGGGAGGGGCAGATGAGTATTTCTAGTTCTGTATTTCAGAGAACAATGCAAACGCCCAACATGAGCAGGTGGTGTCTCATAATATAATTTGTACTTACCCAACCTGAATGAGCTCATTCAACTTCGTGGCATTCTTGTCATCCATACCTTTAAACAGAAAAAGAAATAGACATGACCTTGGAGCAGTTAGGAGCAAAACTGGTAAAGATATAATTACTTTCTTGTAGAATCCAAACAGAATATCTAAGGTCTTCCAAATAAAACCCCTATGTTAGCTGCAGCCCCTCCCCGCAAAGTCAAAACAAGGCGTCACCTGCATGTCCTCTCCACACACCCAGACTTTCTCCTGGGACTACTATCTGCCTCTAAACAGATGATCACTCATCCCAAAACCTCTCAGACCCCTGGGCTATGCTGAACCTCCACTCGTCCTCAACTGCTAGTTTAGAGGCTCCTTCCTCAAGTAACCACTGTGCACATTTCTCCTGCTGGCCTCTAGTTACCTGCGGGCCTGCCTTAGTCAGCTTTGAGCCCCAGGTCCCAGGGTCCGCTGGATGATCAGCCCAGATACTGCACATTTCCTCTGCCCTCCTGGTACTTAGTACTGTCCTCAGGACATGTGGAAACCAAGTCAAGTAACCAGGTAATGGGAGATCTAGGCAGTGGATGTTTGGGTGCTCACTGTAAGGTCTTTGAATGATTCTATTTTTTTTTTCGGGGGGAGGGAGGAGGGAGGGAGAAGGGGCAAGAGCCATAAACACACAGCCAGACTGAAAACCAAAGACAAGGACAAAACCTTAAAAGCAGCCAGAGAAAGAAAAGAACATCTCTTCCAGAGGAACCAGGACACAGATGTGACCTCTTACCAGAAACCGTACAAGCCAGAGACAGTGGAACATCTTTAAAGTGATGAAAAAACCTTTCAGCCCTAACTGGTTTGGCTCAGTGGATAGAGCATCAGCCTGTGGAGTGAAGGGTCCAGGGTTTGATTCTGGTCAAGGGCACATGCCTGGGTTGCAGGCTCGAATCCCCAGTTTGGTCGGGGGGGGGGGGGGGGGGGGGGATGTACAGGAGCAGCCGATCAATAATTCTCTCTCATCATTGATGTTTCTATCTCTCTCTTCCTCTCCCTTCCTCTCTGAAATCAATAAAAATATATTTTTAAATAAAACACCTTTCAATCAGAATTCTACACCCAGCAAAAGTATCTTAAGAATAAAGACATTTCAGATAAATAAATAACTACAAGAATTCATGGCCAACACAATTACACAAAGAAGATTAAAAAAAGTTTGGTAGGCTGAAGAGAAACAGTACCAGATGAAATGGATCTTCAGGAAGGAAGGCACAGCCCCGGAAAGGGCGAACTTATAGACTTGCTCATTGAAAAAGAGGTCACACGCAGACCTGCCTTCAGATGGGCATAAATCAAACAAGCACACATGAGTGTAAAGGCAGTTGTGATGCTGCACGAAGGGAGGGTCTGGAGTCCTGAGAATGTGTGACATGGTGGCCCAGCCTGCTGTGGAGGTTTGTGAACATTTGAGCTAAGATCAAAGGAGTTCATAGGTAAAGGGGAGGAAAAGGCCCATCACCCTGTGTCTGGCTGGTGGGACAGACAGACAGAAGGCCCATTACCCTGTGTCCAGCTGGTGGGACAGACAGACAGAAGGCTGGCACCACCCCAACTTTAGGGTCTGAGTCACCAAATGGGGCACGGTCCAAAAAACTGTCCTTTGAAGAAAAGCAGTCTGAGCAAACTGGTGAGTACTACAGGCAACCAGTGTCCCCCCTCACCCTGTCCTGACATTGGTGCTGTGGCAGATGGAATAGCATAGGTGTAAAAATCAGGATTGGAGGCAAGGCAGCGTGGAACCTTGTCACTTAATAGCTAAGGAGGCTTGAAGTCATTAGTTTTTCATCAAAATGGAATGTCCTCGGCCCCCTTTTCAGACAGGAACAATGCCATCTCACACAGCTGTTACGATGCTTTACACAAGGTAATATGTGTCAAAGTCCCTGGAATACAGCAGGGACTCAAAGTCTACTATTTCAAGACCTGCATATGCCTGGATATCTCAGTTAGAAAAAGGAATGAATAAAAAGCGAGCTCTGACACTCATTTTCTGAACAGCCCAGAAAGCATTACCGCTAAGCAGGTATGAGAGGCGGCGCTGTACAGGGCACTCTGCAGAAGGCTGCAAGTGGAAGCATGTCCTTCACCAAAAAGATTCACGAAATGACACAGCAGCGCCCACCATTTGCATCAGTGGGTGGGGGATCAGAGGGAAAAGCCACACCAGGGTGTGTGTGTGTATGTGTATGTGTATGTTTAAACATGTGTACGTGTGACATGTAACTGGGCTGAGACAGATGACCAGGCATTACCCTCAGGAAAGGAGCAGCCAAGCTGGAGGGGTGCCCAGCTGGAAATGAGCTGAAGTCCAAATGCAGAGGCCCCTTGGGCCAGGGGCCAGGTGATAACCCAGGGGCGACAGGAAGCTACCCATGGAGCCAACGGGAGGATGATTCGTATGCAATCAGAGACTGGCTGAGAGGCTCTGGCTGATCGGCTCAGATGTGGCAGGGATGGAGGAGTGGTCATGGATCATTAACAAAGCAGGTGGTACCCACACAATGCCATGAAAAGAAACACTTTAGGTTTAGGGCAGAGAGAAGGACGAAGAAGAGAAAGTAGAGATTCAAGGGAGATGCGGCCCGGGGGGAATCGAAGATGGCGGCATAGGTAAACACCGGAGACTGCCGCCGTAAACAACCACTTCAAAAATACAACTAAAAGTCGGAACGGACATCAACCAGAACCACAGGAAGGCTGGCTGAGGAGAGACTCTTCAACTAGAAGCAAAAACAACAGCATTCCGACGCACAGAGAAGGCGCAGTGTGGAAAATTTAAAGGTACGGTGGTGCGGTGGTGAGGTGGTGCGCGCGCAAAGCGGGCTGGTGGCTGAGGGCGCGGTTGTCGTTTTCACTCAGGAGTGAGTCTCAGACTCTGGGCTACAGATCCGGGCGAGTCTCTAGGGACCCAGACTCAAACGGGAGAAGCGGGACTGTCTGGCTACGGCCCCTCCGAGGTTTGCAGCGATTGCTGGGACAGAGAGGCAGAGCCCCTGGGGACGGACTGAGAGCGGGCATAGCTGCTCCCTCCCCCCGCCCTGTTGAGCCCGCCCCGCCCAAACCCTGCGCACAGCCATTTGCCGATCGCCTCAGGCAAGGGCTGGACTAGCGCCTCCCCAGAGGACTGAAGTTTTCCCACAGCTGATTTCCACAGCCAGTCGGCCTGGTGGTCAAATCCCTCTAGTGTTAACTACAACAATTAAGGCTTGGCTAGAACAAGACTGCGCACAGAGACCACAAGGAGGTGCACCAAGAAAGCATAAAAGATGCGGAGACAAAAAAACATGACAGAAATGGAGGATATGGAGCTAAGAATCGCAATTTTGAGGGCTTGCCATAAATTTGTGCAGAGCCTCACGAAAACTAATGAGACCCTCGATGCTACGATAAAGAAATTAGAAAGTAAGCATACACGGAATGAAATAAAGAATATTATACCCAATAGCAGACCAGAGGAGCACAAGAATCAAACCAAAGATTCGACAAAAAACACCCAATTGGAAAAGCAAAATGAAAAAAGAATCCGAAAGTGTGAAGATAGTGTAAGGAGCCTCTGGGACAGCTTTAAGCGGACTAATATCAGAATTATTGGAGTGCCAGAAGATGAGAGACAGCAAGATATTGAAAACCTATTTCAAGAAATAATGGCAGAAAACTTCCCCCATCTGGAGAAAGAAATGGACTTACAGGTCCAAGAAGCGCAGAGAACCCCAAACAAAAGGAATCCAAAGAGGACCACACCAAGACACATCATCATTAAAATGCCAAGAGCAAAAGACAAAGAGAAAATCTTAAAAGCAGCAAGAGAAAGAGGCTCAATTACCTACAAGGGAATACCCATACGACTGTCAGCTGATTTCTCAACAGAAACTTTGCAGGCCAGAAGGAAATGGCAAGAAATATTCAAAGTGCTGAATACCAAGAACCTACAACCAAGATTACTTTATCCAGCAAAGCTATCATTCAGAATTGAAGGTCAGATAAAGAGCTTCACAGATAAGGAAAAGCTAAAGGAGTTCATCACCGCCAAACCAGTATTATATGAAATGCTGAAAGATATCCTTTAAGAAGAGGAAGAAGAAGAAAAAGGTAAAGATACAAATTATGAACAACAAACATGCATCTATCAACAAATGAATCTAAGAATCAAGTGAATAAATAACCTGATGTACAGAATGAACTGGTGATTATAATAGAATCAGGGACATAGAAAGGGAATAGACTGACTATTCTTGGGGGGAAAAGGGGTGTGGGAGATGCGGGAAGTGACTGGACAAAAATCATGCACCTATGGATGAACACAGTGGGTGGGGAGTGAGGGTGGAGGGTGGGGTGGGAGCTGGAAGGAGGGGAGTTATGGGGGGAAAAAAGAGGAACAAATGTAATAATCTGAACAATAAAGATTTAAAAAAAAAAAAAAAAAGGGAGATGCGGCCCAATAGTCCCTCTGAACAGACCATTCAAAGCAGAAGCTGGGAGGGATTTACAAAGAAGTCCTCAGACTGTGGAGAGGACAGGGTAGGGAACCAGACACTTGTTCCATTTAGAGCCTCTTACACATTCTTGCCTGTTTTAGGAGAGGGGAGGTCACCCAACATAGGCCAGATGTGCAGAGCAATCAGTGACTGCCCATCATCCCCAACCTTCTGCTGCTTCCACACCCCCAACCACCTGCCCATTCAGCAGTGACATGTTAAGTAAGTGACTGGTAAGATGATGGCTATGGTCATCTCATATGATCTCATTTAACCTTCAGAGTGGCTCTGTGGATGTGTGACAGGCAGACAAGTGGAATGTGCAGAGGCAAGGGTGCGCCCTCTTGTCTGTGGCCACATGAGGAAGCAAGGTAGGGATGCCAGGCAGTGGGCACAGGTGTCCAGGGAAGGCAAGAGCACCCTCTACATCTGCAGGGAATCTAGTCACAAGGAGAGGATCAGAACAGTGCAAAGGAAGGGGCCCTAACCCTTCAAAGTACCAGTGTTACTAAAGACCAAAAAGTGGGGGCTTTTCTAGGTCAAAAGACTTAAGGGACACCACAGCTACGAGCAGGGCAATGTCCTCAACAGGTGCCCAGCTGGCATGCTGGGGAGTGCTGGGAAATCTGAATATGGGCAGGATATTAGGTAAGATTGTGGTCCCTGTCTGATAAATGTGAAATGTGTTGGGTGTGATAATACGGCTGTAGGTATGCAGGAGAATGTCCTGTTCTCAGGTGACAGAGGGGGAGGGATTTAGGGGTGCGCTAGGATGTCTGCAACTTAAAGTCTAATGGCTGAGCAGAAAACAAGCAAGTATGTGAAGGGGGAGAAGAAAGGGGGCGACTGTACATATAAATGTAACAAAGGTTACCAACTGGGAAGTTTAAGTGCAGGTATGTGGCAGTCATTACATTCTTCTTCATTGTTTCCGTGTATTAAAATGTTTAAGACAAAAGTTGGAGGGAAAACAGAAGAGCCACTGGGACCAAGACCCAGTAGTGCCAGGACAGCAGGCCCTGCCTTGTGGCAGCTCGTACTCACAGCCCCCAATCTTCTTGCGTAGTTCACCGTAGCAGATCAGACCATACAGCTCCTGAGATGACTTCTTCAGGCCCCGAGAGAACACTAAAATGAAAGACAGGAATGATAAGGGTTTAGAAGAGGGAAAAACACAGCTGTTCCGGAGTTGGCCAGCTCTTGTGCACAGAAACAGTGCTGGGGGAACATTCCACACTGCTGATTCCTCGGTTTTGCCTACTGCACCTTGGAACTACAGAATATCAGCATCAGGGGAGATGGGCAAAGAGTATACGGGAGCACAGTGCTGTTTTGGGAATTTTCAAAATAAAAAGTTAAAACCAGAAAAAAATGGGGAGGGGGGGGACACATAGAAAATTAGTCCTAACAGGCAGATCAATGTCCCCTGGGAGGAGAAAATGGGATGCTCAACACAGCCGGTTCCCAAGGAAGCAGAGGAGCTGGGACATGACCATCACCAAGCTTGTCATCCTCTTCTCTCCATATTTGCAGAATTAGCCTGAGCCCTGTGTGAGGTGGGCAGGCCTGGAACTGTGGAAGCTGACCTGTCGTGTCTCCTCTGACCACTGATCTGTATGACCTGGGTCTGGGGCTAGAACCATAGCTCCAATGCTCGAGACTGCTAATACCCACTCTCCATTGTTCCCTAATAGTAGGCCCACTTGTACTTGGGAAGCAACACATATGGGTAAGGCATGGCCGCACCACTAAGTCCCAGCCTTTGGATTGAGCAGAAGTGTAGTAGGAGACTTCTGAAAGGCAGAAGCTGATTAGGGCAGAATTATGCTTATTTTTCCTTCAGAACTGCTTTCTGGAGTCATCTTAGTCACAGCAAAGTGCTAGGGATGGCAGAGCAGAAAGACAGGAGGACCTGGGTCCTTGGTGCCTGCCCTGGACCACCCACTGCAGGCCGCTCCGATATGAGAAAATAAAATCTGACATGCTTAAGACACTGTTATTTTGAGTTTTTGTATTCTGTGAAGCCAAATCTAATTGACTTGGAAGCCCAGCTACAGCACAGTCTGTGTGCCTTTTAGATCAGTGGTTCTCAACCTTCCTAATGCCGCGACCCTTTAAATGTTGTGGTGACCCCCAATTTCATTGTTACAAATTGAACATAATTAAAGCATAGTGATTAATCACAAAAACAACATGTAATTATATATGTGTTTTCCGATGGTCTTAGGCGACCCCTGTGAAAGGGTCGTTCAACCCCCAAAGGGTTCGTGACCCACAGGTTGAGAACCACTGTTTTAGATCATCTCAGAGCAGCAACCCATGTCATTTGTCCTTCACCCTCACAATTGTTCCTCCTCAGAGACCCCTTTTCAAAGTCCTAACATTCAGATGTGTGTGAGTATAATCACAGAAAAGGAAAAGAAAAATATGTTAGCAAATGAAGAATAAGTCTTGCAATAAATAATCTAAAACAAGGATTCTGAACCTTCGACAGGCTCTAAGGAGCCGAGGACTCTGCCAACTTCACACACTAACCGTTCCGGAATGTTCTCCTGAAAGACTCACAGATCTCATCGGACTCTCACAGGGGACCAAAACTCAGGACGCCTTAAGATCCACTATTCAATGAATAAACAAATATATTCTTTCCTGACAATGGATATTATTCAGCCATAAGAAAGAATGAAGTTCGGACACATGCTACACCTGGATGAACCTGGAAAACATCATCCTAAG